CCAGCCCCCTCATCTCTCAGTTTTATTCTCTTTCTTCAAGCAGTGGATGTGTTCCTGCCAGTCTTGATGCTTTTATTTAATTTGGGCAGAGCCTATATAAGACTGAACAGATGGCTGAAAGCAGTGAGGGGAAGACCATAAAACGTAGCACTTGCATGGCCTTGCTTGAACCAAGTGCTGTTGTATTTTTTTCTCCTCCATTGCAACAAAGATCCTGTGTGTTCTAGAGGTGCCTTGACAGAGGCATCCAGCCAAGCAGCCCCTGACAGAGAGGATGACAAATAGCCCCACCTTTTGAAGGATCCAGCATGCGTAGAGGAGGTATTCAAACTGGAATTGGACCTAAATTTCTTTGCTATGTATTTTTGAAGTCTGTATTCAAGAGTAGGTATTTCTTCATATTCTACAGTTCCTAGTGCTCATTTCTCTGAAGTAAAGCAAGGATTAAATTTCCCAATGAATTCTTTAAAGTATATTAGATTATAGAGAAAACGTCTTCCACAGAGTATGTTTTTAAACTCTTGCACCTAATGACAATTTGATGTTATTTTCTATGGTTTTTAGAAACTGCTGGGTTCTAAGAAATTCTTGAAAACACAGAGGGTTAGTTATACCAGATAGGCACGAGCGGAATTCCACAGCAGAAGCTTTTCACTATTTAAAAAAAATCAATTAATTGGAAGACATGTTGAATAAACTAACTTAAAATGTTGAACTTTTAAAAAATGGTGGGTTTTTGACATTTAGCATTATTGTTTTACCTCAAGGTAATATAATAAATAGGATGAATTACATAATGTTTTGAAATTATGTAGTGGTTTGTAGTGATATTTATCTGGTGATATCATGCCTTAATTCTTAAGACTAAGTCAATTCATGCAGAAGGTTTGTCTGCACACCCAGTAGATATATTTTCTTACCATTGTACAAACTGATGAAGAAATGCATGCTCTAAAGGGCTTATTAGTCCTACAAGTAGCCTAACATATGTTAGATTGTATTTATGGGCTGTGAAGTTATAAATTAGTTTAAGGATTTGTGTCTGGGTAACTATGCAGGGAAAAAAGAACGTTAAAGAAGGTAAAACTCTGTTAAATCCATGTCAGAAATAATCAGGTGATACCCAATTAGTTAACCTGTCCCATGGTCAGTGAATATGTGCTCAGTCTTTTCTGAATTTGGATTATTTGTTGACTCAGCCTCTGAAGAATTGACCTCTGAGGTCACATGCTTTACAGCTCTGTTGAACAGTACTCTAAGTACAACTAACTCGATTGTTAGAAATACTGGGAATGCACACATTCAGTTGAAGTTAGTGAAATTTGCGTGTTCATCATATTTTGAAAATCAAGCTTTTGTTTTAGGAGTCAGAGTTTGCATGTGGTGGGCAATTTTCTGTTTTCCTACCACCCGCTATACCCCTGATGTCTTTCAAATGTGATACTCTTCAGCTATATAGTAGTGTGTAAATGGTAATACTATACTAATGATAGTAGATGGAAAAATTTAGGCACAAATTGGATTTGAAGTGGATTATGTTTAATTTCTCCATAGTTCATTCTTACAGATGTACAGAGTCTGTTTTCCTATCATTTCTGCAGTAGTTAACACTTAGATGAAGACATATTTGTCTTGTATCGCAATCCCTTCTTTAATATTGTAGGCTTTAAAATTGTTCGATTGAAAACTTTAAAAGCTTTTGTTGGAGGAGTCCTGCAGTAGTTAACACTTTGATGAAGGCATATTTATCTTGTATCACAATCCCTTCTTTAATACTGTAGGCTTTAAAATTGTTTGGTTGAAAACTTTAAAAGCTTTTGTTGGAGGAGTTTGTATTATATGTACATCCAAAAAGAAAATTGAAAAAAACATTGAAACTGAAATTTCAGAATAAAATCCATAATTTTGGATATTAATGTAAATGGGTCCCCTTTCAAGTAGCTTTTCTACATACACTTTTCTTTATATTCATATACATGGGAATAAAGTAACTAGCATCCCAAATTAGTCGTATTTGAATATACAACCAATTATTCACTTCTGTGAATTATGTGGAAAATGTGATTAGAAGGAAGACACACAAAGTTTCAACAAGGAAGTCAGAGATGTGTAGCCATAGATATTTTTAATACAGCAAGATCTGTACCAGATTATATTGGATAGTCACCTTTATTACCCCTAGCAATTGAACTTGTAGTAGCTTTCTAGTTGGCTTTTTCATTGCTGGCATCTCCACTTTTAGATCTCATAGGAGTTTTGTGAAAATCCATGATAAAGTTTGATTAAATGACACTCTTTTTATGTGAACGATCCTCGTTTTTTTCAGTATTACATTCAAGGGGTGTCACTTTATTAAGAATAGTTTTTAATATGTGAATTCTCAATTACTGAAAATTTTTGCAATTCCCAAGCCATAGGCATCATAGAAGGTGGTGGTTTTTTGTGGGTTTTTTTGTTTGTTTTGTTTCTTGTATTTACCACTAAGATTTATACAGTGACTATTCACTCACTATCTCAGTAGCTGAATTGCTAGCAGAGTCAGTGTCATCCCAGATTGACCAGAGAAGTCAGTGGGTATTTGTTTGACAGTAAGTGAGGCCAGCCAAGTGTTTCTCTGTGTTTGATTTCCATTCTTTGCAGATTATTCCATCAGCTGCTGCAACTTAAGTATTTGCTTCCCCCTCCTGTTCCCTTCACAACATTTGTAGTGCCTCTGGAAGAGACAGTGTGTCCTACTCAGCAAAACATTTTGGAACCAACATAATTTCAGGTACCTGAGATAAATATGTGAAAAATAAAGGGGAAAAATCCTACAGCCGTGTGATGAATCCTGAAATTTATGATTTACCAGGTGAAAATTCAGTTACATTATTTTATTCCTCTTGATGTTCTAAACTTTTCAAACCACTAAATTGGCAGCAATAAATTCTTTTAAATCTTAGTTTATTTAACAAGTTAGAAAATGCTGCACTTTGGTCATTGTTAGCACATGGCAGCTCTGGCAGTACTGGGTATGATTATGTTTAAATGGGATACAGTTACGTAGGGTGGATTGAATTGTTTCATCTCATTGATACCATGCTAAAATCTATCATCTCATTGGTGAGCACTGGGACTCTTGCTGCTCTGTAAAATAGTTTTTTGCTCATTTGCTCTTGTTTATATATTTGTGAGATCATGGGTATTAACTCCACTGAGCTTGCTGGCTTTCAATGTGAATAATTGTATCTGGTTTACCTCCATTGCCCCAATGTCTTCACTTTGTGTTCGTTTTGGACCCTTATTAAACATCTCCTATTCTATTTAAGTAAAACCTTTTTAATTTTTGTTTCATAGGTATATGGTGTGTTTAGATAATGTGAAAATGCTTGTATACAATCACAACAATTTTCACAATACTCGAAGGCTTACGGGACATTTCACAGAATTGTGTATTTAAAACTGTAGGTTGTTATAGCCCAAATTTTTAGATCAACAGAAACAATCCTGCAATATGCTAGGATTTACTCGGTAGTCATATTTCCGAATGTAAGACCTAACGTCCTTAATACATTCTATAGCTTTTTAAAAAAATAATCACGTTGTTGAAAAAAAGTAGTTATGTTCGTAAAATGTGGTTCACATCAATAACTAAGAGTGGAAGCTCTGCCATGAAGCTAACTGAATAGGATGTGAGCAACTTCAAGAGAGTGAACTACGGTCACATAACACACTTAGAAGAGGTGTCTGAGACCCTAAAGGTAAGATTTCATCAATTGCCACATTAATGTCAGTAGGCTGAAAAACAAACGGAAGAACCATCTCTGTTCCTTGGTAAATCACCATACATCATTTTTAAAAATTTTGTAATTTGATACAAATCTCACAGCTCTTGACCAAAACATTGTGACAATTTTTATATTTTAGTTTCCTTTAAATTCCTGCTAAGCCAGTGTTGCCAGAAATATAAACTAGCAGTTCAACAGAGGACAAAACCAGTCTATATCAAGGGAATTAATTACCTGACTAAGTCCGCTTTGTTTACTGGTTTCTGATAGGCAGAGACAATTACTACAGCCTAGGTTTTCATGTCTCCCTTCTTCCAATTCTCAAATATTATTTTTTAATTTTCTTTTTAATTTTTTTAGTGTTCTATTCAGAGCTATTGCAACAGTAATTAAATACAGCCACCATGAAAATTACAGAGTTGTTTCTTTCCTCTGCTTGTTTGCTGTAGTGCTCTATAAGGGAACTGGTCCTCTTGTGTGTCTATAGCATTTCTAAAAAGAGGAAACATCAGCTGATAAGCAGTCTTCCCATTTTTTATAGATGTCTGCTGTTTCAGTAATTGTTACAAAGACTAAGAATGGCGGAAATCTTATTTTTGAGATTAAATTACTACTGTTTTGTCTCTAGCTTACTGTATTATTTTTTGGAAAGATGTTATTGCTGAGCTGAACAGAAAAGATCTCAGGACTTTATAATGACAGCACAATATTATAAATATTGCAGTAACACATGTAAAATAATATTTGCCATTACCTGTAAGCATAGGTGTTTGTTTTTTTTTTCTGGGGGGGCTGTGTATTGAATTGATCAAAAGTCTCATTTGAGTAATGCATTATAGTTTTCATTCTTAGTTGCTGAAAAGTTGCATTTCATATTTTTTTAAATGTTAGTACTTTCTTTGGCTTTCTGTAAAAGCCATTGGTGATACATTGAATGGAAGAGGCTTTAAGCTAAATCTAGAGTTAGCCCTTGTTTTGAAATCAGTATTTTTTTTTTTTTAAATGTATGTGTTTTTGATAGCTTGAGAGTTTGTTGTGGTAGGCACTGGCAATATTTGCTGCAGGTCGATTGTCTTTTGTTTTCTGTTCATAAAAGACTAAATGCATTGGGCTGCTAGCTCATCGCTGCAGCTGGACCACTGCTATCAATTACATATATACTTATTACATTAAAAGAAACTAAACTCAGAAACAAAAAAAATCAATGCATTTTCTCTTTATTAATATTAGCAGATGTATCTTGTAATGGAGCTGTGTGAGGATGGAGATCTTAAAAAATATTCATTGTAGTAAAGGACAATTTACAGAAAATGAGACAAGGCACATCATTCAGAGTCTTGCTTCAGCAACAGCATATCTTCACAAAAATGGTAATTAAGTTCCTCTGTCTCTCCCATATGTTCATTGATTTCGGATGTTCATACATTTAACAACAGTTACTGATTGCTGTTCTTGTCTATTTCATAGTATAAAGATAGTCTGGTAAAGAAAAAGTTAAATATACTACATGAATGCTTTTTTTTAGAACTTTTTCTTACAGATGCAATAACTGCTACCATTTTTTCTTTTATTTCTTTTTCCATACCAGCTATGGACAATAACATGTATTATTACTTCCTAACTTGCAACTGCTTTGCGTTCTAACATTAACTTAGTTTGGTTGTTCACATAGTCTATTACAGGAGGTAAAAAAGCAGAAGTGGATTGTTTGTGGTACTTTTTAACAGTATGTGTTGCATTTAGGATTCAGTAAACACCAGCATTTTCATCCACCACTCACAAGCATTATAATTCTGCGTATTCCACAATGGAGTTCACCTATTCAGCCAAAAATTTAGAATTGGTAGACAGTGTAGGATTGTGAATAATTCTAGAGTTTTTTACATAGAAATTATTAATCTCTCTGTTCCGGCGTACTACTAGGAATCTGTCATTCACTCTTTTTTCCATAGAGATATACAGGGTTATGGAATGATGCCATGTTTCTTCTGTGTACTGACTGGAAGGGCAAAAACATCTACTGGTTTTGGATATGAAAATTAACTGCAGGTATGAAAATATGTGCAAATTTGATAATTATACAATATAAACTCTACTTTTTTGTTAGATGATGTCAGGTGATCTACTGATAATAAAGACTGAACCAATATGAACTTTTTCCTTTATTACAGGTTTGTGGGGAAGAATGTGATTTGAAAATTTGAAATACTTCTATGACTTCCTGGATAAAATGGGAAAGATACTTTGGTTAGGCTTCCAGTAGTTCAGAGTAAAATGCACTGGAATTTCTAAAAGAAATTACTCAATTGAAAGAGTTCAAAACATCTCTGTCAGAATATCTTCACTGCAACTGATAACATTTTATTTCTTACTCTCTGTTGGCAGATATTGTTCAGAAGGATCTAAAACTGAAAAACATTTGAGTTAAAAGCAGTGACATCGATGAAGCAAATGAAATGAAATTAAACATAAAGGTAGATGGACAATTATGGCAGTTCTGCTTCAAGAACTTATTTTAATACCCAGGTATTACTGGGAAACCTGACTTTGATATCTATCAGCAGCTTTTCCAAATAGCTACTAAATGGTGTTATTGGGGGAAGGGGGGGGTGAAGTCATTTTGGAAGCTAAATGCCACTGCTGAAAAAGGCTCTTTTTTTTTTTTTTTTAATGATAACTATATTTCTAGGTCAATAATTAAAAAAAAAATAATAATTCCTTAAAGTAATCATACCTTGTCCGTCTAGATCTACATTAGCATAGTCCCAAGCTGTTAGTTACAGGAAGCCAGCAGGTGCTGTGAGATGTAATTAATTTTTAAATTAGGAATATTGTCAATTTAATGTGAATCTGTTAGTAATTTAGAAAAAAAGCCTATTTAGACTGGGCCCTGCATCAAAATACAAATATCTAACAGAATTCTTTTTATATTGATAAAAATTTACTACCTAAACACAACGTGCCGTATGCTTACATATTCTTTTTATTGAAAAAAATAATAAAATAATATTTGGTGCCTAATAGATCATATGCTAATTATCTGTTGTTAATTTGCTGTTTAAGTAGTCGTTGCTATGAAAATGTAGGCATCTTCTACAATAACCTTGTAGAACTGAATTATTGGTTCATGAATGTACTATCCTTGTTAGAAGAGTCCATGTTGAGAAACATTTCAGACACTGAAGAAAGTGGACAACTCAGTAATTCATGGTTGGAGAAATCCAGGGTGCAGAACTCTGTTTGCTATATTTCTTAGAGCCTATGTATTTTTACATAAATATTATACTCGTTTTAAGAGGTATAATTTTGGATTTCCCTATATTCTTCAGTTTGGGGCAGTTTGTACCTTTCTTCCTGCAAATGCTAGAGGTAGGCAAGACATTGATATAGACCTTGTGGTTTGTCAACCGGCTTTCCATCCTTGTAGTAGTTCACCACTTCCATCAGTGGAAACCATCGTGGCCAGCTCTTGTTTCATGGCCTTGCTTTACATACCCATTTGGAACAGCAACTATCACACTCTATCATTTCTCCTTTAAGGTGCAAGTATCTTTTCTGGCCTCCATCCTGTGGATGAGAACATATCTTTCCCCATTTTCTTTGTTTTCCTGATTTTAGAGGAGAATAACTCCCGAATAACTTTAATGGAAGAAGCAAAAGACAAGAAAGCAAACCCCAAAGTTGGTATGGCTAGTAGCAATAAAAGTGGCTACAGAAAAGAGGAGGTCCGTCATCACACAGTGTGAAATAGATAAACAGCTAAGAACAACATTTATCTGCTTCAGAGTTTTCAGACCTGAGGCAGCTGATGTTAAGTGTGAGGCTAAGGTTCGTGCCCTCCTGTTTTTGGCTTTGAGAAATAGTCTTCCTGAATCTTTACGACTTTATGGTTTGGGGCAGGACATGTGGGGAGAATTATGGGTGAAATCCAGACACAGATTCCTCCTGGTGAAAGAGCAGAGATTCCTCCATATGATACGCTTGTACATGGTACAAGTGTGTAGTGGCATGGAATTTAGATGAAATTTTGTTTATAAGTATAGATAGACCTTCAGTTTCCCGCCACCTGTAGGTTTCAGAACGTTCCTTCTCAAACTCAGAGATACTGACAACTTCAGGTATATGTATTGGAGCTAGTGGTGCACTCTGACGTCTGTCAGACCAGCAGAATAACAAATGGAAAACTGACTCCAGGAAGTGAATTTTCATTTTGCATCCTCTTTTTTAAAAAGACCAGCTAGAGAGACAGTAAAATCTGTATCGGTTTAATGGACTAGCACAAATGCATTTGTACAATATAATAGGAGATGCAAATTTCAGTGGGCCAAAGCTGCTGACCTGCTGAGTGGTTGGCCCTGAAACGCTGCCCTGAAGGCAGAGAGGGAAGGTCTGCTCCTTAGTTGGGCTTGGAGCCATGCCAGGGATGATCTCATGATGGAGATGATGGAGGCATGTTTCCAGCTGGTTTTCTTTCCTGCTGCTACATGTCCCGACAGTTGTGGGGAGGAATGGACCCACCAAGAGCATGCTGTAGCCATCAGTTGAGGAGTTGTCTGTGTTCACGTGACACGTTAGGTTTTCAATTAGGTTCTTAACAAGCAGCACTCCAATTTATTAGCAACTTAGTTTTATTTATCTCGACCTTCCAGCTTCTGTCTCTGTCCCTCCTTGCCCACAGCAATGTAGTGTCTCCACCATCAGTCTGCTGTAGTTGAGATTTTAAACTTGCTTTACTCACAGAGAAGGTGAAGTGGTCAGTAGGGATTTGGAGGATAGTTAGATGAGCTTGAACGTCAAGGGAAAAATTATTACATTGAAAAACACTTGGATAGTGGAACAAATTGCCCAGCAAAATAATTAGAGCACAAACGTTAGTGATGTTTGGCACAAATTTTCTTGTCTTTATGGAAGAACAAGGGAGGAAGAGACTGAAGATCACTACATGAAAGTCTGATTTTTAATGTTTTTTCACTGACTTCAGCATTTTGACTACAAACAGTAAGTTCTGCACTCAACAAAAGCACTAAAAAAGTCCACTGTCATTGCAAGCTTCAGTGCTGTATTTTTTTCCATTAGGTGGCTGACTTCTGTTTAGCTGTGCAACAGACCGGCGGTACTGAAAGCATGTTTCAGCGTATCTGTGAGACTCCGGTATACATGGGTAAGTTCAGTGCCTCTTTCTTATTAAGAGCTACAATTCACTAGATCCCTTTACAGATCACAAAGAGTCCATCATCTCTAAGCTGCCTCTTTTTCTTCTGTTATTTTCTTGCAGGAGTTGTCATACTAGCTTAAACTGCCTACATTTCTAATCTCACACAGCTATCCCTGAGACCCAAATCCTCAGCTTCAGAGAAAGGTGGAGCTATAACTGATGACAACCTTTTAGTGGGGCTCATCAGATCTTGTGCAGGTGCTGTGGAACAAATTGTCCATCATTGGAATTTACATTTCGTATGCATTTTACATATAAATGTGAATGTTCACAGTCTCGGTTCCTGATCTGTCCATTTTACTAAGTTATAGCTTCTATGTAGCAGCGAATTCCACAGGTTAACACTGTATTTGTTAGCAGCACAGTGCAACTGTTGGGTCCTTGGCAGACCTCTGACACAGTCTCTCTCTTTCTCTCTCTGTGGTCTGTCAGAGATCAGGCCTTCTGAGGATCTGGAGGGGACAGGTTACATCAGGTATCCATAGGTATCAGAGCAAGGCAGCTGGCAAACTCCTGACACTTGCTGGTGTTTTAAACATGCTTATTACTCATTACATGTATGAAAAAATCAGTGAATTTTGTCCATAAGCACTCCACTCTATGTGTCTTTCAGTTTCTTTTGGCCAGTAGTGTCTAGTAGGAGCGACCTCTTATTGTCTTTGTTCATCTAAGATGTCAATGTTTATTGTTAAAAATGTGTAGACTAGCTGCAAGATCTGCAAGGGTCAGTTCTCTCAACTCTTTCTCTCCTGATGGTAGCCAAGTTCCACAGAGGCCTTGTACCTTCAGCCAGGAAGCACGTCTTCTGAGCTTCCAAGACTGTTCTGAAGGGATTGATAGAACCATCCTTGGCCCAATAGCTGCATAGTTTTTTCTCCCCTTCCCCCAACTTCTTCAAATGGATCTGGGCTTGTTTGGCGGAGTCAAAGAAACTTTCACTGTTTTCTACAGACAGAGATGCAGCTTTTATTTCAAGTTTGTGTATTCTGAATTTCAACTATGATTCATTTTCCTTTTTGGAGTTCCACTCTAAGGAAAGGCAGCTAAGGTACATGCCTTGCAAGCTCAGATTTTGTCCTACAGAAAAATATAATCTTTTCAGCTATTTGTAGATTTTGTTGAAAGGATATGGCATCACCATTTTAATTTGGGTACTACCTCTATCAAGCAACACTAGTGATGACGTAAGATTTCTTGGAAATAATGGTATTTCATTCTGCTGTTATTCAGTCAGCCTTCATAGATCTTTTGAGACATACCTTTCTAGTAGGTGAGCCGAACAGCTGCATAAGTTCTTTACATCCCCTTTCCAGGGACAGGTGATGACTAGTACTTTTTTGGTAAGGTTGCTTTTCATAGTCATAGGCTTTATTGTCTGCCTCTCCTGGTTCAGTGGAGTGGAGATAAATGGGGCTCTGAAGAAAACAAGCAATGATTTATTTTAAATCAACTCTGGGATATGTTTACCTATACATGTTTATTCTCTCTCTTGCTATTCTGGAAGTTCAAAACCTCTGAAATTCTTCACTGGTTAAGAACTTGATAGTATTTAAGGTTGTGCCATCCTTTAAGCCCACCTTGGAATGTTCATGGATACTTAAAGCCTAGACAAAGTTGGCAGGAGACATTACTGACCAAAGAATCTGAAATGAAGTGTGTGTGGTTTTTGCAAATGTGACATTGGTGGCCAGAGGTAATCAGAGATTTGAAGAGCTGATTTTAATGCAAGGTAACTAATACTTTTCAAACTCCCTTCTGCATGAGAAAGACAGAACTCCTTACTTCTCAATGACTCATGGGAAAAGAGATACAACTGGTGCACACCAGCTGAGGACTGCTGTCAGTCACTGCTTGGGTCAGCTGATTGAAGGGATGCTCTGACTCCATTCGCTATCCAGTTCCTAAAGGAGACAAGCAAGCAAGTCCCTACAGTGAGGACAAACAGCTATTCCAGCTGATTGTACCTCTTCAGAGCGCAAGCACTGACATGCTGTGTCATGCAGGGAGTCACTTTATAATAAATACCTTTGGGCTGCATGAAACTAACTCTATGTCTACTGCAAAGAAGGAAGGTAGCAGTTAGGGAAGACTGATCAGATCTCAGATGTTGCAGTAGAGGAGGCTGGGTTCTTGTCTGATGATATTCCTTGATGGTGCTTGTTGTGGTTTAGCCCAGCCAGCAGCTAAGCACCACGCAGCCATTCTCTCACTCCTCCCCTACAGTGGGATGGGGAGGAGAAAACATAACAAACCGCTTGTAGGTGGAGACAAGGACAGGGAGGGATCACTCACCAATTATGGTCACAGGCAAAACAGACTCAACTTGGGGAAAAAGTCAATTTAATTTGTTACCAGTCACATTCAGAGAGGATAATGAGAAACAAAACGAGACTTCAAAAACACCTTCCCACCACCCCTCCCTTCTTCCCAGCTCTATCTCCTCCCCCCAGCAGCCCAGGGTGATGGGGAATGGGGATTGCGGTCAATTCATCACGCATTGTTTCTGCTGCTCCTTCCTCCTCAGGGGAAGGACTCCTCACACTCTTGCCTTGCTCCAGCGTGAGGTCCCTCCCATGGGAGACAGTTCTCCATGAACTTCTCTGACATGAATCCCTCCTGTTGGGTGCAGTCCTTCACCAACAGGCTGCTCCAGCATGGGCTTTTCACAGAGTCACAGCTTCTTCGGGTGCAGCCACCTGCTCCAGCATGGGGTCCTCCCACAGCCACAGGTCTTTCACAGACTGCCCCACCGTTAGTCTCCAGCTCCAGCATGGGTTTCCCACAGAGTGATGGCCTTCTTTAGGTGCAGCCACCTGCTCTAGCACAGACTGTTCCTCTGTTGATCTCCATGGGCTGCAGTGGGGCCACCTGCCATCTCACCATGGGCTGCAGGGGAATCTCAGCTCCAGCACACCTCCTCCTGCTCCATCTTCACTGACCTCAGTGTCTGCCTTGTTGTTTCTCTCAGATCTAGGTCCTCTTTCCACTGCAGCTCCACTTGGGCCAGACCAGCCCAAGGAACCCTGGCAGTCCCGGCAGGATGAGCTCTGTCCAGAGGGTGCTCCAGAAGCGGGAAACTGTGGAGCGCTTCAAGCCGCGGCTGCTGCTCCTGCCACCAGGTGAGGGAGGAGCGGGGTGGCCCAGCGCAGGCAGCTGCCCACGCTTCCCCCGTCTCTTCACCACAGGTCCTTTCTTAAATATGTTATTCACAGAGGTGCTGATGGGCTCAGCCCTGGCCAGAGGCAGGTCTGACTTGGAGCTGGGGAAGCTTCTAGCAGCTTCTCACAGGAGCCACCCCTGTAGCCCCTCCCCAACCCCCTCCACATAAACCCAACACAATGCTGTACTGTTCGTTGTCAGGCAATTCTTGCTGCTGTTTTTTTTTCTTTCTGCTCCCTTGGCCCATCAGGTACTCATTACAATCTCTTAGGTGACATGAAGAACTAATTTCTTCTTATTTTCTCATGAACTTTATGATGACCTTCACGCAGACAACACTCACTTTGCATTTCCATTCGACATGATGTCTTCAAACTCCCTCAGTCTACCGTATGTTATCACTAGGTTAAGTTCAACACAAGTAATATATTTCTTTGTTACAAGGTCAGCTTTTTCACTGTTGCTGGGTGTTTTTGAAGCCAACAGTGCTACCTGAGTCACAGTACCACCCTCTGCTTACGTAAAACTGATTTGTAACTTCTGATGTGCTGCAGAAACTTTTAGGAATCTCCAGCTAAACAATGGGATTAAATTCTAAACCAGTTTTTCATTAGAAAATTTCTGTCCAGACAATGTGTCTATCTCAGTGTATAACATTGATTGTTATTTGATGTTGAAATGGAAGTATAAAATAACCATGAAAGCAAATAATTCTAATGCAGACTGTCCAAGGGCACACTTTTCAGGGTTTTTTATTTGCCTATTTAGGCAATGAATGCTTTGCATTCCATAATGTAAAGATTTGTATCCCTTTCTGATTTATGCTGCGTGCTATAATATACTTCACTTCATTATCCAATATAGCATTTATTTTTTAATTCTATGAAGTTCTTTTCCTCGGCAGTATATATCAGCAATGCATTCACAGCTTGCTTATAACATACTGAAGTAAAAAAGAAATCCTTTTTGGAGGAAGATAATTAGTCCTCCTGACATTTTGATTGATGAAATACTAGTAGTATTAAATACTTGTTTAAGTGAGGGGTTGCATGGGATGAAATTACTTTCCGATTTACTAATCATGACAGAAACATAGAGTCTCAACACTGGAAGGGACCTCGAGTCATTTGATTTATTTTTCTGTCCAAAGAAAGAAGCAGCTATACTTAAGTCATTTCTGATTAATATTTGTGTAAAGTGTACTTAAAGACCTCCAGTAATGGAGACTCCGTAATCTTTCCAGGCACTCTATTCCGATGCTTCATTATCCTCCTAGAAATTTTTCCTCCTGTCTGCCTTGAGCCTTCAGTTTGACAATCAGCTTAAACTTATAGCTACAGGCCATGATCTAATCACTTTTTTCATTATAAATTTTCAGTTAACTCACCTGCAGCCACATAATTGCTAGAGCTGACCTAAGGGAAGTGGTGGGAGCCTATGCGTGGGGCTAAAGAAAAATGTGGAACCGTGCTTCATATTTTCAGATTTTTATTTCTCACTCTATCCACAATGGATACGAGGAACAGGTAGCCACCTTCCTATTTTCAGCACTCTGATGTCCCATTTCTCCCTTGGTCTCTTGTTCTGGAGACTAAACAGGATGGATTTTCTCAGTCCTGTCCTGCATTTCTGATCTTTGAGACTGACTCCTCGTGCTCCGTTTGGTACCTATTATGTCAAAACGGGAGTATCCAAAATTGAGCACGATATCTAGTTGAAGCCTCACCAGTTCTGGGCAGATGGAAGGATTGTTTTATATGTCCTGAATACCTTAGGCTTGCCTATAAAACGCAGGTGGTGATTGTCCTTTTGTGATTTATTTAAGGACTCTGAAGTCCACATAAAAGAAGAGGAAAGGACTGGGAATCAGGCCATTGGCCTGTTTTTCACCTAGCATGTTTAAATAGGCTTCTAACCCAGACAAGGGGAGGAGTGTTGACCTTGGCTCCCTCAGAAAGGGCAGGTGTGTACAAAGAGATCTTGTACCAGAGTGACAGTTTTACGCTAATCCTACCTCGCAGAAGTGTTGTCCAGTGACACTGAAACTGTGTAACTCGCGTCCACCTTGTGATTCACAACAGTCCTGGAGCTGCTGCCCCAGCAGCTCTTCTCCTTGTGCTTGCATTCTGAGCTTGTCTTTCAATATACTTACAGTCATTCCTGGCTTGATGTTGCCTTCAGATTTAATAAGCGTGTTCCCTCTTGGATCGTCCAGGTCATCAATTGTTATGGTAACATGCCTAGGACAGACACGTACAAAACATTCCTTGACACAGCCTTCCACTTTGACAATGAACAAGCTACAACTACTTTCCAAAAATGTTTTTTATAAGCATGTGTGCATTGCTCCTGCGATATTTTAATGTAGGTAGTATTACAAAAAATGTTATGTGAAACGATATCAAAAGCCTTACGAAAATAGAGATATGTGATATTTAAAGTTCCTCCTCTAACCCTGAAGCCTGTCAACCTGTGCTACATGGAGATTTGTTCCTGACAGGTGCATAATGGCTGTTACTCACCTCTTTGTTTTCTTCTAGGTGCTCATTATTTCCAGTATTTTCCTGGGAATTAAAATTAATGGGATGTATCTGTAATTCTTCAACACCAGCTTTTCCACCCTCTTACGGATAGATACCATGATTGCCTTTTTCAGTTTTCAAGTATTTTACTCGCCTTCCGCTAGTAGTTCTTGAACCACTAACAGCTCTGAAAAGTCTTGTCAGTTTTTAAAGTACTCTAGAATTAATTCTATCGGTTAAGGCTGATTTTAAAATTTCCAACCGAAGTACTTGCTAACCTTTTGCTTCTCTGTAAAAAACTGAGGTCTTGCCCCTTTGTCATTGATATTGATTGTGCTATCCACTGCTTGCCGTTGACATTTTGGTTAAGATTGATGTAAGAAGACATTAAATACATTTGCCTTCTGAGCATCATCTATCAATTGCATTCTTGGTTGAATACAATACCAGTCTCTTTATTCACTGTCTTCCTACTACTCATATACTTACAGATTATTTTGTTTTTAGTTACGTCCATTGCTAGTTGCTCCTCGTTTTTCCTTTCTGATTTTGCCCCTCTGTGCTTATGTTTTCCTTTTGTTCTTCTTTCCATCTTTTACATGCTCCCTTCTTGTGTGTGAGATGTGGAAATTCATGATTTAAACAGACTGGTTTATTAATTAAAAAAATATAAAAGTAATAGAAATTTCCCAAATCAGTAATTTTATTTTGTGTATGATGTGTATATAAGGTTGTAAACTTACATAAGTTCGTAAGTTTTCCCAGGATGTTAATAACATGAATTACTGCTGGTTTAAAATATTCTCAAAATGATCCATTAAAAATGAGACAATACTGTAGGTTTTGGCCATTTTGGCAATGCTAATGGTAAGAATCTCCTTTAAAGTCCTGTTTTACCATTTGTGGTATTATCAAACCATTAAGTTAACCATTTTAAGTTCATTGACATAATAATTAGATATCTGAAGCTTGGTACCTATCTAAGATACATAAAAAACTGAGATGACCATTAAACAAGCTTTTTGATTTGGTGGGATATCACCAAATGAAACTGTCTCTGTCAGTCTCCTCTTCTAGCACATGAATGTTTTTATCTTCTGTTCCTTAGTGAGGCTAAGTGTGTCACCTCCATTGATTCTGGAAGTGAAAAGCATAGCTCTCGCTGTGAACTCACAACCACATCTCCCATGATACAGCAGATAAAATACCACTAAGATGGCCTCAAAGCATCATCTTTCTAAAATGTGACTGAAACAATATCAAGTGAATAGTGAATAGATTATAATTTGTGAATTTTGAATCTAAGATATAAAGAAATAGGTTTAAAAATTTTTATTTTAGAGTATTTTGGCACTGACTTTGTATGATGGATTCAAGCTAATATGTGCAAAGAGAGACTCTCGTGTTTTGCACAGAGACTCTGTTCTTATGTGCTACACTTATGTTTGGAAAAGAAAGAAAAGTTTATATGGTGCCTTGCAGTACTTTAAGTCAGTGTATTATGAATACTGCTTTAATAACTTATTGTGGGGAAAAAGAATACTAAGTTTAATCATACAGCTAATGTCACAATGTCACCACCCCCTTAACAGCTAAATGATAAAAGTGAGGACACATCAGCATGAATTGTTAAGGTCTGTACATTATTCATTTAAACATCTGCTGTTGGTTCCTCTTTACATATGGGAATAAATTATACCACATCAGCACATTCTTCATGCTTTGTGTTTAAGCATTTAAAAGTTTTTTTTTTTCTATTATTAATACTATTTTTTCTGCTTGGTTGGCAGCCCCTGAAGTTATCAGTGCCTATGACTACAGCCAACAGTGTGACATTTGGAGCACAGGTGTCATTATGTACATGCTGTAAGTAGCTTGTAAAAGTAATATAAAATGTACAAACCCATTTATAATACAAGTACCTACAATTTTGCACTGAAATAAAAAATAAACCTGTGAGATAAACCTTCACAAAAGACTGAACTCTTAAAATTGCTTGTATGTAAACGTTACAAACTTCTATGCAAAATAAAGTAAAAGATCCAGTTTGGTGTTAAAAATTGAGTCTTTGATTTATGAACCACTTTATAATCCTGAAATAACAGAGTATTACAGAATATTGCAGTGAAACACTGTAAAACTAAACTGATAGCTTAGGCCTCTCTGTTCATATGTTGGCTGGATCTATATATGAGAACTAAGTTGTTAATTTATGGAGTATTGGTCAAATCCTCAAATGGATTGCACAAACTGTGCGATCAGGATAAGGGCTTTTCTTCTCCACTTCTGCCTGCGGTAACTGTAACTGAGATGTTTCAGGGATGCCAGGTCTCCCTGTGCAGGTTATCTGCATCCTTTGAAGGTTTATTAGTCTCCTGTTATTAGAGGAAGAAGTGAAATCTTATGTTTGTTAGAGTATATCTATATTTTTATTGAAGTCTTTCAACATTTATAACATGTCTTTCTTACAACATAATAATTCCTCTCTGAAAAATATTATATTGCCTATACTAGTTAAATAATATAAAAAGGTACTCCAGTAATTAAAAATAAATTGTAGCAAAGTACATAAATTTCATATGATGCAACTAAAATGTCACATTGTATGCAGGGACATTTTTTTTTTCATAGTGTCTTTGCATGTGTTTTTCTGCTCCCCACTTCCAGTCTTTTTCTTCTCTCATTTGCCCCCAGATGATGCTTTAATGTCAATGTTTTAGAACATTATTACTTGCTGTTTCATTTGTTGTTATTTCTGTCCTGTGATTGTTTTACTTTTGTTGCATACAGCTGAGCTCCTTGATAACTTCAGACTTTGTACATGAGCAAGCAGACACAGGCACACAGTTTCATAACCGCCTCTTTCCTGGATATTCTTTGCTTGGTTTTTCTTTCAACTTTGTTTTTGCTCCTCGGTTTCTTTTCTATACAATTAGCTCACTTTTCTTCTTGTGTCAGCATGATGAAGTGTTCATAGCTTTATTGCCTTTATTTTTTATTTTTTTAATTTCTGAAATCCATGTGTACTGTTTATGCTGATACAGAACGAGTTTTATGGTTGTACTTCAAGGTATTAATGTTTGCATCACGGTAGTAGGATTTGCACAAGATAATACAACAGAATATATTATAAAATGGTTGGTAGAAATTGGAGGGTTTGACTGGCTAATAAGAATCCAGAATAAGAGCAGCGCCTGCAATCAGCACAATTCGCAGCTCAGAACTTGTAAAATTCAGAGCAGTGAACTGTGTTGATTGCAGCCGGAGTTAGAACTTCTGACCTTCTTCCTTAATTAGCAATATAAATATTTTTTTAAATTAGCATTTTGTAATCACAACAGTGTCAGAACAAAGTGACATTAATTCACCCCTTGTTGTGTTGACTACACAAGAATGGAAATACTGTTTATGAATTAATAAAATACAATTCACACTCCTTTTTATTGCTTAATTTGAAAATAGTAATACAAAAGCCATAAGATCATCTTCTGATTTTAATTCTGGTTTTGCATATTACTTTTCTCCCCACTCTGAATAATAGCTTGTGCTGCTGGTGCTCCTCTAATGGGCTTAAAGATACTCTTACAGCCATTACTGCTGCCATCACAACTTTGACCCTTCTAGGCTACAGCTAATGCCTCTCTGGTAATTTTCTCGCTGCCAGAGCTCCTTTTGCAGTGCAGATGGCATGCTCCATCTTGGTACCAAGGGTATTATTGCCATGACAGGCTCAGTCTCTACCTATATGGGGAGCATAAGCCCTGAGGTGACTCATGAACTCTGTTTTCATGAATGTTAATGCACAGGGTTGCCTCTGCATAATGGGGCAATGCCAGCATGATGGATTTTTATATGTAATTTAAACTGAGGTGTACTTTATACTTTCCGTTTCGTTTCTATTTTAACATATACTAATAGAAACATACACAATACTAACCAACAAAAAGAGAATCCATTAAAATACAAAAGTATGTCAGCACATTGAAAGACTAGACTAGCAGGAGTCCTGCTGCCTTTCACACTCCGAGAGTATGGCCTGTATGCTGCTCTCGCATAGGAAAGGGTCAGGGGCTTCTTTTTCCTGTGCAATCTATGCTATTGGATTTCTTGCTCATTCTTCCAAGTGTGCTCAGAGACTCTGGCCCCTGCAATAGTTCTCGAAAACCTTTGTGTCACTGAAGAAGTCTGGGATGCCTAATAAATTACTTCTTGCATTGCAGCAATAAGAAACCTATTAAGAAAATGTGGTACTTTTTGCTGCTTTCTAAAGGCACAGAAAATTTCCTCACAGATTTTCAAGGTTCTATGTGTTACGTTTCACCTACTTAACTTGATTTCTTTAGCTGAAGTTATCTGTTGTCTGTCACTGCCTTAGTCTGGAGAGAATTTAGTCCTATCTGTGCATAATAGAATAATGGGCATTGTCACCAGCCAATGCTTACAGTATCATGTCCTGAAATGAATGCATTCTTCCCGTTTTCTGTTCTTTAAATTGAGTTCCATGTGGATTTAAGTCCTAAGGGAGATTGGGAAGGAGAATTGGAGGATAAAAGAAAACAGCAATTTTCGTTGAAGACGTTTTGAGATTAAAAGTTTGGGGGAAACGTGCTAAAATATTAATTTTATGTTTTACCTTAAATTAAAAATTAAAGCCATGTGAATGAAACTCCAGAATATTTTACTTTGATATAAAGTGACAGGCATCCTTCACCAGAATGTGACAATTACATTTTCAGTAGCTACTTCTGTGTTTTGGGAGTAGAAGTAAAAACATAATTTGATGCAAATAATTTATTTGATGAAGTTAGCTTCTTTTTCGGTTTAAATGGCCACAAATAGGTGTATTAATTTCTTGAAGTATTTCCTATGTAATTTTTGTATGTCAGTTGTGCATGAATAGTATGATGTAAAATCTATTAGAAATTTAATGTGTCTTTATTAGTTTTGATTGAAAACAGATCACATGGTACGGTTTTTAATTTGTTATGTGATTAGTACAACACAGATCAATATTTACTTTCAAAGTATCTTCTCTAATAAACATTTGCAGTTGATGTTTCTGGTTAATACTTTACTGTTGGTAAACAGTAAGTCACAGAAACCAAATACAAAGCAAGTTTAAACACTGGGTTTGATATTAACACAATTTTTTTAGGAATGCATTTGTTTTAGTTTCATATATATTACCTTTTTTTTATTGTTACCACATCATTAAGAATACAACTGGCTAAGGGAAGCAGATGATACAGAAAGAGTAAATTGACTTTACAGACATTCAGATACCACGTTTACTCAAATATTTTACTTAAAATAACGAGAAATAGATACAGGGTGGGAATACAGCCACGGCATATTTTTATGAAACTATATACTCTTAATATGTATACTTATGGGTATGCCTTAAAATTTTTCTTACATTTCTGATATCTTTGCTTTTTTATTATCCAATTTCTACTGATACCTTAGTTCAGATGGGGCCAAATAAGGCAATGTTCACATTATGTAGCTAAAGGAGATAAAGCTTGATACCAGAAAAAAAAAGTGAAAAATTAAAACAATGTTTTGTTTTCTCATAGTATTTTCTACTTTATGTGTTTTTTTTCTGAAAAATAAATTTTCTGTAGCAGTAAAAGCATATTATACACTTCCATATTTTTCTGTTAATCACCCTTGCTTTAATTTACAGTTATTCAATGAAGAGTAGTACCTTAGACTGAGAATTGGACATATTTCACAGATTCTAAGAGTTTGGAACTGAGCTATCACATTTCGGACAGCAGTACATTTGACTTCAGGGTCACAAGCAAGCACTATGTATGGCTAAACTGACTTCTTATACAAAACAAGGCTACAGAATAAAATGTATCTAGTAATTCTTATTCAAATACTTATACAGTCAATGACCTGTGTTTGAGCCCAAACTCATTTTCCAGAAAGACAGGTGATTAGGACTTAAATGCCTAAATTGAGAGCAGTCTGTTTTGTCTTGTTTCTGTTGTTTCAGTTCTTGTAATTGTTATTAACTCAGTGGAGTTTTAGCTGACTAGTCTAAAAACAGTGGGACATGAATTAATGATGGTTCTTATTACTGAAATGTAGTGGTTGCTAGGACAGAATTGTTGAATTGTTTAATGGAAAATATTACTTTGGCATGAAATCAAAAGAAATGGCATGTATAAAGTGTTTGCAGTAAACAAAATTTCAGTGGTGGAAATGCTGCACATGGTGGCAACAGGTTAGCATTCTGTTAGCCAAGTGATTTGAATGAATGAGTTAAAGAATAGCAAAATACTATATTTTCAATTTTTTTTTAATAGCTTCTACGTCCGTTGTATCTTGTTAAACCTTTGGCTGCTACTTTAAAAATCCATATAATATCAATTATATTTTCCTTATGTGGATCCCTACTGACCAAGATTAAATCACCTTTTAACCTCATACTTTTTCCTTCAAATCTCTCTGAAACACACATTTTTCAGAACTTGAGTCACTTTGTAGAGTTCTGAAGCTTTCCCAATCCTGCAAACTTTTTGATTTCATAGTGATCACATAATACATAGTTTTTGTCTCACCAGTGAAAAGTAGTAGGTATCTGTTCACTGACTCTAATTTTTTTACACCTTTTATAGCAAACTTAGAAGAAAAACTTTTTGAACTAATAAGAAAGGGAGACCTATGCTTTAAAAATCTGATCTGGGAAACAGTTAGTAAGGCTGGTAAGTACACAATGCTCTCACAAAATAAATGCTGACCATATTGCAATAAATTTCACAAATGTAGTAATTTTGATTTTTTTTTTTTGCTTTTAAGTAGTATGCATTTTCTGAAAAGCAAAATTGATGTTAAAAAATAAATTGACATAAATGATACAATGAACTAATTTCATATCATTGGAAGTAAAATATTCTCTGCTGAATTAAAGCACTCAGTTGAAAATGTGTTGAGTTGTTTGTAGCAGAAATAAGATGTATCCAGTTGTGGGGCTTTTTTCCTAGCAAAACAAGTGTTGAGGCTACTTCTAGAAGTCGATCCTGCTCACCAAATCACAGCTAATTAATTACTTGATAACAAGTGGATAACAGTGAATTTTGAGGAGGTATGATTTCTTCACCTTGTGTACCACCTTTTACTTATTTGGTACATAAAGATGCTGTAATGCCCCAGTGGAGCCCAGTAGGGCAGAAAATTTAAAAAACCACAAGCTAAGCACCAAAACATTTGGATAAGGTAGGAGGTAGGAGCCTTATCCAAAGCTCCCAAATTCATTAACATGTTTTGCTTGTATCCCACGGGCTTCTTATAAGCCTGCTAATTAGTAGAAGCTTTACACTGTGTTCTTTACCAAAACCAACTTTACCTGATTTCCCATATGTTTTGACGTAATATATGAAGTATGGGTTCAGGTCAGGCTTAATTAGTTCTCGCAACATTCCTGTTACTGTAATAAAAGTATTTTTTTATAATTTAAAACCAGAAGATTGAGCTACAGGGAAATTTGGCCATGCTGAAAAGAAGTGAATCATTGTGCTGGAAAGGGAACCTGTGAGCTCCCAGCTTCCTGACCGGACTGCAGCCCACGCCACTGCGAGAATACTGAGCTTTCAGCTGTCTGATGAAACCGTTGCACTATTTTGTAGTTGAAATCAAAGCAGAAGGAATGGATATATCTGCTACTTAAAGATAACACTGATGATAGCAAACCCTAATTTCTTTCGTAGCTGGCTTCAATGCCACGTAGAAAGAGAAATAGCTGTGAATCTCTGAAAAATCTTCTGGTATGTGGGAGGATAAATAGCTCCCTCTGTTCAAAACGGACCACTGGTTTTGCCTCACACCTTCGTCTACAAAAGAACCATTCTGGACTAGCATGCATCTTTCTTCTTTCCTGCTAATTGAGTAGAGCTGAACGAGAAGCTTTTTTTTTTCTTCTTCCTGACGTTTCAGTGCATTCTTGTGTGGGGAAGAATAACCTCAAGCAAATGTGTAACTACAATGGCCTGAAAAAAAGACAATTTTCATGCATTTCTACCCTGCCATACTATGAGTACAATACCGTCCTTGCTTCATGAAACTGGAGATATGGAAAACTACCATCTCTGTGATTTTATGACCTTTCACCATGTATGTTCAAGAAGTCTGAGATTCCATGAAATAAATTCCATATGATCACGTAATTGTATGTAACAAGGCCTTCCTATAGTTCACATTAAACCATTCCTTCTCGCCGTACTATACAACTTTTCAGGCACAGTAGATTGTAATTTACAATGCTTTTCTTCATTTAAGAACTAGGTAGCAGACTGCTTAACTACAGAATATCTGCAAATGCAACCCTATATTAGTTGTCTTCCATCTGCACTTTCATAGTAAATGTGCAACACCTTTAAGCATTAGTTTCAATGCAGAACTATATTTTAGATTTTTTTTCATCAGGTTTGAATGTTTCTAAATGTTGAGAGATGGCCATTGTAGACTGCTGACAGAATTCCCTGATTCCAGGCAGCTTGCTCTGAAGTCTGTTGTTATGGACAGCTTCTTCAGACATTATTTAGTCAGAAATAAATATCATCAGAAATGAGCTCCAGAAATACAGTGAATCCATTTGTTCCTCCAGCTGATCTACTCCTAGCTGTTTTAAGCTGCTTCCTTAAGGGAAAACTTTGAGACAGTGCTTCAAATAGTGATCTTACCTTCATACTTCAGCCTTTCCTGTACGTGACCAGCCAGTGTTTTCTATTACAGTAGAATTGCAAAGAGGCTTTTTGGTTTCTTGAATATCTCTATGTTAGCATGAGCTGACTTTCAGGGCCATTTTAAGACTTGGGTTCTGTGTCTCCAGTTCTACGGATGTTGGCAGCCATTTGCCTGTGAGCAGTAGCTCCAGCATTAGATACTTTGGATCTGCTGCGTGTGAACACAGTGTGAAGCTGCTCTACTGGCAGATGGTACTTGGTTGAACTTGCTCCATGGGCTCAGTACTGTGCATGTGCGGTGCCCAGTGTCCTGGTGCGGTACTGCCAAATTTCTTGAAGAACAGTTTCAACTAATATGCCTGTTTTCTTGTATACTGATGGATCTGTTATTGTTTTTACTGCTAAATACATCCCCGTCTCTGTTCACTACTGACACTTCCAATTTATTTATTTATTTAATAACATTCTTGTTTCATTGACATAAGTGATTTATTTTGTACAAGGAGCTAAGAGCACCAGAACGGTCATACAAGGTAATGTCAAAGGTCTTTCTCACATCTTCGTCAGTGGCCAAGGATAGATGCTTAAAGGAAAAGCACTCAGTACTGGAATATTATACCAGCCTTTAGTCACTTGTTGCTCAGGATTTCCTGAACCAAAAGAGTGTGGTGGTAATAAAGCTCAGTTGCCGTTTTACCACTGATTTGTCCAAATATTTTTAAACTCATAAGAGAATTTACTTGTGGCAAAGAATTCCCCAGCTTCAGCAAGCAGACTGTGAAGAAGAGTCTCTCTTCTTTTGTGTACCTTCTACCTTCCATCTGCATACTTCATTTGAGTCCCTCAGTTGTCTTATTTGCATTCTCCTATGCCGCTTATGGTTTTCATATGTATTACATATTCCAGTATTCAAAGTGATAGTTCAATGTTTTTCCATTTCTAGTAAAACCTTGAGTTTTTAGAGGAGTACAAAGAGAAGAAACAGGGATGTAAAGTGATAAGTAACACTATGCAGAATTCTTGAACAAATGCTCATTGAGATGTTTTAGTACAGGCTGCTTTTCAGAACTACTGAGCACCTGTGGCTCCCATCTCACTTCAGTGAGAGTTGCAGATACTCGGTACCGCTGAAAATCAGGACACCAGTTTCTACTTCATGCTTGTGCCTTCACAGCCTTTGTGATTTTACAATAGCCAGATGGGGAACATGAAAGTGCATTATCATGTAGAGAATTCTGCGTGTAAAAAAATTAACCCCTTGGTGCCATGTGACACATGAGCTTCTGTGGAGGAGTAAATGAATTTGGCACCACAGTCTCCCACCAGGAAATCCCTACCATCTGTACCAAACATTTATGAGGTCACAAGTCATTCTGTATGATTAAAACTGGCATTTCAAACATAGGTGCAGCAATTTGATATTCCAGAACAATACTTTAACAATAAAAATTTTAATTTAAAAGTTACCGTGTACTTATAGCTAAACAAATGTCCTCAAGCTCAATTCAAGTTAGTGAATTCCTCTGGAGGTTTATGTGTTGTCAGTTTGAGACCATATATAGTTTTGGCCGGGGGCTATGCAAAGGGTTGATGATTAATTATTTACAAGAAATACTAATTGATGCAGTTCTGTTACTAGTTTTGATTAATCTGATCTTTATACCAGTTAAAACTTTTCCAGACACATTTAACTTTCTATATATGTTAAAAGTAAGAGCAAAAAAGATGACATGATAACAGAGTATTTTCAAGTTTCTAAGAAACACAAAGATCGTATTACTATGACATGTTGTTTCTGCATAATCTACAAGAATATTTTACTTATACACTGAGTGTGACATTAATGAAATGTAGGGTAAATCTTAATTTGCAATAAATATTTTTATGGGTACACGTATTTTGCTTTGATACTGTAATTTCCAATTACTTGGAAGCTAGATTTTTAAAATATGCTCTATTCATTTTTTTTTTCTATGGAATATTATATATTGTACAGATTGTGATATATTTTAAGTATAAAAATACTCTACCTCATTTTCTTCACTTCCTACTAGGAGAATTTGATATTTCCTTAGGTCTAATTTAACAGAAGGTGATGTGTCCTTTCAGGTAGTGCAGTTGGTTTTTTTCTTCTTTCCTTTCCTCTACTGATTTTTGTTTTTCTCAGAAGAGCTTTTGAGCACATTGAAGGTCAGCTCCAGTTTAGCATTCTGTGTTATTGCTGTGATTTTTGGTGAAATTTACAGGTACATGAATATGCTTAATTGAAGAGTAAAAGCAAGACTCTAAATATAAAATTTATGTGTACAGTGTGTGAGATTTCTTGTTTCTTTTGAAAACAACTTGACTTTTACAAGCAAACTAAATGTCTAAAGCCCAAATCCTCTAGTGCCTGACTTTAAACTCCAGTTCAGTAGAAAGCATCCACGTGCGTTCCTGTTCTGCAAATTATTCAAGCATGTTTCGAAAGTTGTGATGAGGACTTGAAAAATTTGATCCAATGATGGACTAGAAGCCTAAGGATGCCTAATGATTCTGGGAAGCAATTTGCTTAGAGCTCTCACTTTAACAAAGTGGCCTCTCACTTTCCCATCTAAGATTTTCTCAGCTATCTGGAGTTAGATCTTTTTGTGCCCCTAGACCTCCCTCCCTTGGCAGCGCTGGGCAGTTGGGAGATGAGTTACAGCCAAACCAGATAGTTTCCTGTCGGAACGCAGTAAAAATCACGGCCTTCTTTTAGTAACTGGCAGAGTTAGGTGGCAACCTATTGGTCAGACTACTTACTGAACATGTAGGAGACCCAGGCTCGATATACAGCATAAACTTGCCTAGAGGCAAAAGCTTGTGCTGGGTGACAGTACGGCATTGCTTTTTCTTCCCTTGACTGAAGTGATGACGTTCGGGTTGGATGGCTTGCGAGAGGATCGCTTTCTGCGATTCTGTAGAGCAGGCATTTGACAAGAATGATAAGGGCTAAAATATGTACTACTCAAGTGCATTTAATACACATTCACATTCACTCTGCACAAAATATGGAACTTGAAACCACTTTAACATTTTTGCTACCAGCAAAATAATGCATTCTGCTGTCATATCTCAATAAAATAAATAGCAGTTGCACTCCATAATATTTTTCCAATACACAAGTTGCCTTTTGTTTATATTATCTCTAATTACTTGTGGGTTTATCACTGTCCTTGTAAGTTTATTCTATCTTAGTTATCTTATGTTTAGATTTTCCACTTCTGGGGATCAGTCTCCTTTTTTAATTGATGGTTGTATTCAAGATCTCTCTGAACTAAATCAAAAGCATCGTCTCTAGCTTTCTTCTGTATAGAAAAATCAAGAAACCAGGCAACACAGTTGTCCTTTTTTGCCTTGTCTGTAGTTACATTGATTTTGT